CTGCACATGCAACTGGTGTGATTTTCAAACTGCCAGGTTTGGAACTCGAACCATGATCCACCATGTGAGAATCCAGAGCCTTAACCACCATGACATCTGCTGGACCCAAATAATTTTAATTATGCATATTGATAGCAATTGGTAGATGAAAGAGAGGTAAGGAGAAAAACATGGTATTTACTTATTGTGTGTGTGTGTAAGTTTGCTACAAGGTATGTGTACTTCTCAGAGAGACAGTTAGACATCATTCCTCCCCTCACCAGGATGGCCATGCTGTAGTCCTTTCTCTTCCATTTCTCCTTTCTGGATTTTGGGCAGGCACACACATACACATGGTTTTCAAGCCGCTAGGTCTGAGACTTCAACCACACAGTGGGCCATGTGGGATCCAGACTCCTCAACCTACATGCCACCTGCTGGCTTGATATTTATTTTAATAATAGCTACTTCTTATACCTTTTTTTCTAAATGAAATACAGTCTCTTCTAAGATTTTAAAATATAATAAAGGAGATTGGGGAATATTAAGAATATTTATTCTTAATCACTGAACTTATTTCCTGATTTAAATAAAAGCAAATCTTAAAAGTCAATGAAGTTTTTTAGTGTTACTTATCTTCTTTTTTTCCTTTCTAATTTCCTTCAGTTAAATGAAACTCCAAAATTAAATATGTGAAAATGTGACCTTAATATTTTAAGTGGAAATAATAGCACATCTATTTTATTTTAAAATGTTAATAGCATAAATTATAAATCCCTGTAGCAATACCTATTTTAACATGTCACGTGAAAAAAATACCTAAATAGAGACTATTTTGCATCAAGTAATAATAGATGAATAATAATAGGTGAAAATTTGGTTGTTACTCAGTTCTTTGTTGCAACACTTTCAAGCCCTATCTCTGCTATAGAAGGAGAAAAAGAAAAAAAAAAAAACCTATTAGTCTCTGCAACAACTGATAGATGTTCTTCTTTTATATTGGCACTTTGCCACAACCTGTCAAAGATTGCCAGGTGGAAATTTACCAGCAGTGGTCAAGAAAGACTTGCGTATGACAACTTGAGGAATATATGTTATCATTTTGACACATTGCTCAACATTTGTACAATTTTTTGGACCCTCCCTTTTCGCCCTATTTTTGAAAAGTTTGCAGTGGAGACGTGTCACAGCACTGAGCTGGGCATATTGTGTTTTGAACCTTCAAGTAACATGTCAGTGGCAGAACTTGGATTAGGACACAGAACTCCTTCCTCTCCATTTTATGCTTGTTTTTGTGACTCAGCCTAATCTTTTCAGGGAAGTATTCAAACCACATCTGCTTAAATCTCCTGCCAATTTCCTTTAAACACCAACGTAAGCTGAATCAGCCTCCTGCCAGCTGTCCTTCTACTGAAAGCAATAAGGTTTACATTCTCACATTTTTGTTTTAAAAAAAGCTCTTGTCCAAACAAAGAATTTCTTTTACTATTCTGACACTTTCTATAGACTGCCCTACTTTTCCATTCAAGGCGTTTGCATATATCGCCTCGTAAAAGGTAACATTCCCAAGGCAAAAATCACAACAGTTTTTTTGCACTTGAGGCTTGTTGAGGGGGAGCTGGAGCCTGATCCAGATTCATGTTTTAAAGGGAACATGAAGTTAGGGTACTAGTGGTGTCTGCTTTATGGATGTCTGATTGTATTTTTTTCATATGTGAACTGGAATTAGAAATGTCCACTAGCTAGTGTATTCTGGAACTCTCCAGAATTTCTTATTCCCTGAAGCCTGCTTTTTCCTCCTCCTCCTATTCCTTCACCTGCTGTCAGCTTAGATTTTGCCTAAGCCAGACTTAGACCCTTTTTCTCTTTTTGTTCTAGTGTTTTCTGGGTAGGCTCTTTCCTAACAAGTTCTAGTGAGAGGCAATAGGGGAACAGTCCCATCCTGAGAGTTCATCGTCTTGGCATTACCTTCATCCTCATTTCAGTTGGTGGGTCCAGCGTCACACTGTGTAGCTCGTGTGCCAACTTGTATAGAACATACAGATTGTTATCCCCAGTATCACGAGGACTGCTGTGCTACAGTTTGAATGCCTCAGTCCCAGATCAAGAGCCTAAGCCACTAGTATTATAATTCATGTAGTCCTTTAAGGACCAAGTTTACTCTGCTTTGGACTCCTCAGCAGCATTAGGTGCTTTTATGTTCATTTAGGAGAAAGAGTAATAAAAAATGATAAAAAGCACTTTTAAGACTATCATTCTTTTATATTACTAATAGTAAGAATAATAATAATAATAATAATAATAATAATGGGTGGGTAGTAGTGGGTGGGAGGGAGGGGATGGGGAAAACAAATAAATAACAAACAATGAGAAAGTTTTCTGTTGATGATAACGTATATGGTAATATTTTTGACTTGACTAATATGTACCGTGTCCATGCTGTGAAAAACCATGATGTACGCCGTAAAGATGTACAGTGATTAAATGTAAAGTTGAGAAGATGTTAAAAAATGGAGCCAAAGTTAACTTTGAAAGATTACACAGATTGTAACAGTTAAAATGTTTTAAAAACAATTAAAAAAGTAATAAATAATGCCGGACAGTCTCTGAGGGATTATGGGCTTGTTTTAAGGATAAGGAATGTGGTGAGAATCCTCAAGATTGCCTTCTGTTCCACTGTAGGTGAGGCCAAGAAAGGAGAAATCCCTAGCAAGGAAGCAAGGTTACCCAAGCTCATGTTCTGCAAGTTTCAGTGAACAGATGAGATAATAGATCAGCTCTTTCCTTCCCATCTGCCCAACCTGGCTTCTCATCTATAAGTGAATAGCATCTGTCTTGAGACATTTTCTTTTCTTTTCTTTTTTTTTGTTTCCCTGAGAGATTTTTGCTATAGGGCGCGTGCACGCACCAGAAAGACAGAGAGAGATAGAGAGACAGAAAGCGAGAAATCACGCCCCGGGAGAATGGCCATGCTGCAATCCCTTCTCCTCCATTCTCCTCTTGGGATCTTGGGCATGCATGCACATGCGCCCGGCGTGAGTTTAAGCCACCAGGTCTGGGACTCTAACTGCAGTCGACTACATGGGAGTCCAGCGACATAACCATTACGTTAACTGCTGGTCCCAAGACATTTTCTTTTTAATATAACCTTTAATAGAGCTATCCTCAAGAATGGAGAAAGATAATTTTCTCTATTAGGAAAAGAATGTTGATGGGAGCTCCCTTAGCAGTGTGTATGTGTGTGTTAGACACACACACACCAAAGGCAGGTAGGATATGAATACAAATTCAAATGAATGAATGATGCAGGTAAAGTGAAGCTCTGCATTCCTGGTGGCCCAGTGAGAAACCCAGTACACATTCTCCTATATAATCTCTGTCAGAGGGTTGTATAATTTAAGTATATTATTAAAAGATTATTTTATGAGAAAGTACATTCCAACTTCCAAAGCTGTATTAAAGATGATTAAGCCTTTGGAACGCAGATTATTGGAGGGTTAGGTTCTACTGGGTACGTTTTTTATTAGGCAATATTGTAAAGGCCATATGTAAAGCTGAAGCAACAAAAATCAGTCACCAACTTTGATAACATTTTTCACGCAAAGAAGAAAGGAACTAGAAATCTAATCTTTCACTAGGAATAACTTTCTGAGTACAGTATTTTTGAAAAGTTCAATCAAAAAGGCTTAGGTTTCATTTAAATTGAATGGAAGATTGAAAGAATGCAGCCAAGTTTATAATAATCAGTCCCCCCTCCTTTTTTTTTTTTTTAATTTGCCAGAGGGCAATGAGCTAGCTGGAGAAATACAGGAGAAAGCTGTCTGGGGGATGGGGAGGGGGGATAGTCATGCTATAGTCCCTTGTGTCCATTTTTCCATCCTTTCAAGATTTGGGGCGCATGTATACACATGCCTGTCATGTTTTTCTCGCTGCCACATAGTCAGCCACGTGGGATCCAGCTGTCTAAACCACGCCAGAGGCTGACCCAATAATGTCTTCTTTACTCTCTCATTTGTTTAATAAAGTTGGGGTAGTTTTTGTGGGATATAATAAGGTCTGGTGCCCTAAAGTCAAAAGGAACAGAAAGCAGTGTTTAAAAAAAAAAAAAAAAAGCAAAAAAGCTTTGAGGAGAGAGAGAGAGATGGACATGGTCACCTTGTTTCTTCAGTGAAAGTTTTGGGAAGGAGAGGGAAGTGGCACAGGGGCTGGGAAGGCAGTTGTAGAAGGGCTGCCACAGTGTAGCCAAAGCTGGGAAGCAGAGGGCAGGACTCCGGCACCGCCCTTTGTCTTCCCTGTCCTGTAGGCCTAGTGCTTTCTATATTGTTCCTTCTTGTTTACACTTTTTTAGGGTCTCTCTTTACTTTTGTTCTCTCACCTTCTCTTTGCCTCTTCGGGTCTTTCCCATTTCTGGCACTCTTACCTAATTATTCAATGTCTTCAGTTCATGTACATTTTATAAAGAAACTGTAAATCATAGGCTAAGAAAATAGAAGTTTTTATTTTTAGAAAAAGCCATTTGATATAAATCCATAGAGATTTTTAGATAAGAGTATTAAAAGTGTCAGAAATCTGGGCACATTTTATACTCCAATATACTTTTGGAAATCTTTGGAGCATGTAAGATGGCGTTTCCTGGAAGCTTTGTTTTTATTAATGTATATGGTAGGACTTATCCATAGTATATGGTAGCCTGTACACATGGTTTTTGCACAGTTGTCGTAGGTGCAGTTGCTTATTTATTTACTTATTCTAGGAGACAGGGAGAGAGAGAGAATGAACCTTATGTCCCTATGCTGCAGTCTACCCCTAGCCTCATCGGAAGGCCCGGGGACTTACATGCGCATCTCCCCTTCCTGTGCTTTACACAGGGAGACTCCAGGACAAGAACTGAGGACTTTCTCGTGTGGGTTCATCGTCACAAAGCATTGCGTTACTGCTGCACCACTGTCTGGCCCCCAGATTGGCTTTTAGATAGTCATTTAGTCTTAGTAAGAGTCTGTAATCACATGTTTCTCTTTCAGATTCACCTTCTACTAGTCTGCCCGTCCGAGAAGAAATGATGGCAAAATACTCCAACCTTTCCTTGGAGAGTCATAACATATCACTGACTGGTAAATATATCACGTTTCAGATACTGTGCTAAAATAAGTTATTTTATTTTTACCTAAGCCTCTGCTGTTTTGCCTTGTGAAGTGATAATCCTTGTTCAGGGCCTAGTGGAAGAAACACACCAGTACTTTATACGGCGATTACTTGGGGTGGTGGGAAAATCTAACCCAGTGATCCCATGGTGCTGTGGGTACGCAGCGGGGCAGCCAGGCCAGGTGCGCTTGAGCCAAGTAAGGCCTCATAGAAGGGGGACATCTGAGAAGAGAGAAATTCATTTCAATTTACAGATACTCTTATGTTTTCATCATCAGCTCCTGCTGGTACAGCCATTAAAATCACTGTACGTTGAGAGAGAAATTCATGTGTTAGGTTGTCTGAAAAGTTATGATGCATTTTTGCATTAAAAAACACAGAAAAATATGTCATGACTTTTCTGACCTTTGGTCAGAAAAAGTAAAGTTGATATCCAGTGGGTCAATACAGTGCTATGGAGAAACAAGTAAAGAAGAAAAAATGCAAAATAAAACGTTTTTTTTTTGGCTCTGTTTCTGATTTTATTTAGCTCTGATTTTTGCATTTTATTTTTTCACAGATTCCAGTGTTTTGAAAGTAATCTTAGAATTCTTTAAACTTATAACAGTAGTTGATCTGTTTAGTACCAGTTTTAATTTAATTAATTTTTTTTTAGAAACTTATTGCCTTAGGGTGTGTACACTCTCCAGAGAGAGAGAGAGACAGTGACAGTGAGAGGGAAAGTGAGAAATCACTCCCCAGGGGGATGGCCATACTGCTATCCCTTCTCCTCCATTCTTTTCCTGGGATCTTGGGCATGCATGCACATGTGCCCGGCATTAGTTACAAGCCCCTGGGTCCAAGACTTGAACCACAGTCACCACATGTGAGAGTCCAGTAACCTAACTATTATGCCATGTGCTGGCCCTGATATAATTAGAATTAATTTTTTTTTTTTTGGGGGAGAGGTTTTTGCTATAGGGTGCGTGCGCTCGCCAGACAGAGAGATAGAAAGCGAGAAATCACCCCCCAGGGGGGATGGCCACACCGCAATCCCCTCTCCTCCATTCTCCTCTCGGGATCTTGGGCACGCACGCACACGCGCTTGGCGTGAGTTTTAAGCCACCGGGTCCGGGACACGAACCGCAGTCGACCACGTGGGAGTCCAGCGACATAGCCATTATGCTAACTGCTAGTCCCAGAATTTAAAATATTTTAAACCTGTAATTAAATAAGTAACTAGTTTTTCCAGTTACATGTTAAATTTCTATCCATCCTCCAGTCTCGTGAGCTATTTCTCTCCTTCTGTTCGATGTGACTAGAAGGTATGCATGTACATTTGTGCTGCCCAGTCGGATAGCAGGGGAATGCTCGCACTGAGCTTGTTAGTGGAACACTTTTTGACTTTGTAAGCTCTTATCTGTTCCCATATTCCCCCATTCCAACATTTGGAGCTTCTCCTTACTTGTATAAAATAATTATAACACTTCCCGTTTTTGTTATATGTTCTTTTACAAATTTTTGCCTGTTCTAGTTGGTGGTTTCCTCCGTTAGTATGAACTCGTTCCTTAAAAGAGATTCATGTGAAAACAGCAGTTTGCTTATCCTTTGACTAGCCTGGCAGCATTGGCCCCAGGACTGCTCCTCACTTACCCAGTCCAGCTGGAGCCTGGAAACAAAGGTCCACTGCTCAGGCAAGAGCAAGCAGTGGACTTTTACCTGGATGCCAGGCTCGCTATTTCCTTACTTAGCCTGTCTGGAAGCTTTATTTTATTTTATTTTATTTTATTTATTTATTTATTTATTTTGGAGAGGTTTTGCTTTAGGGCGAATGCACTCGCCGGAAAGAGAGAGAGACAGAGAGACAGAAAGTGAGAAATCACCCCCGAGGGAGCATAGCCACGCTGCAATCCCTTCTCCTCTCGGGATCGTGGGCATGAACGCAGATGTGCCTAGTGTAAATTTAGGCCACTGGGTCTGGGACTGGAACCACGGTTGACCACATGGGAGTCCAGCAACATAGCAATTATTCTAACTGCTGGTCCCTATTTATTTATTTTTCCAATTAAAAAAATTTTTTTTTTTAAACATTCGATTGCTATACATCATTTTGCTTGTAAAGAGAATTTACCCAACAAGAAATACTTCTCAGACCTGTCCAGTTGAGAATACTATACATGTTGTTATTAACAGATAATAAACCATTTCTGAGTCCCACAAATGTCATCCTAACCATTCTTTGATGCTAATAGTCCCATTGAAACCAGTATACCTATTGTTACGAAGAGACCAGTAATTGTTCACTTGTCCATTGTTTACTTCTTCCTTGGCTTGATTCTGAAGACCCCTGAGTGTCCACCTGCCCCAAGACTGAGCCAGAACTAAAATGCAGGATATCCTGAGAACTGACTGACCAGAGCCCTGTCGTGCTGTCTCACACACTCACTGATTTGCTTGGTTTCCTTCAAAAATTCCTGCTAGCTTGTTTATCTCTTCCTATAAAAAAAGCTTTTTACTGTTTGATGTGAGAAGCTTGCAGGTCTTGAGTTTGGAGATTTTTCTCTTTTGCAATAGTATTTTTAAAGAAAATAATGATCTAAGTTTGAATCGGTTTTATTTGACAAAGTACATTAATTTTGAAACATTGCGTCTTTGCCCTGTAAACCAGATGACTGCCTTTTCAAGAAGGGCCATTTCTCTGGTTACTTTCTCTTAAAAAATATGACTTCATTTTTTTTGACAAAAAAGGAAAAAAAATAAGGGATGAGATGGTGGCACAGCTGTACACACAGTACTTTGTGGGGCTGACCCAGAGGTGAAGGTTGTTGGTTCAAATCCAAAGACCTCCCCAGGTATGCAGGGTAGTGTGTGCCCGGTGGCCCAGGCTGGAAAAAGCTCAAAGTGGACTCTAGTTGTGAAGACTCTCACTGTATCCCTCCCTCTAACTCTGTCTCTCTGCCTGTCTCTCTCACTCATGGAATGAATAAGTAAAAAGAAAAGAAATTTGGTCTTGGGGCTGGCCAACAGGTGGCATAATGGTTAAAATGCTGGACTCCCACATAACTGACTACAGTTTGAGTCTTGGGCTTGTTGGCTTGCTTTATCACTTTCCTCCTCTCTCTCTTTCTGTCTCTCTGGTGGGCACATATGCTCTATCATGAATGACAATAATAATAAATAAAATTAATAAATGATTCTTTAAAAAGTAATTTGATCTTTTATCTGCACTTCAGTGTTTATTGCAGCACTGTTCACAATAGCCAAGATGAGGAATCAAAGTTAAGTGCCTATCAACAGATAAACGGGTAAAGAAATGGTGATACCCACACAGACACACACAATGGAACACTGTTTATCCATTTAGAAGAACAAAATTCTGTCATATGAAGTTAAATGAGTGAGCTAGAGGACATTGTGTTAGGTGAAATAAACCAGGCACAGAAAGAAAAATACTGTCTGTTCTTTATATGTGGAAACTGAAAAAAGTGACCTCATGGAAGCGGAGATGGAGTGTACTGGAGGCTGGCAAGGATGAGGTGGGAGGGAGAGAGGGATATTGATTAGCAAAATAGAGCCATAGATAGTAGGAACAATGTCTGGGCTTACACTACACAGTAGGGAGAATGTGGTTAACAACTGACTTTATATGCACGAGTAGCTAAAAAAGAGGGTTTTGAATGTTCCTAACACAAAGTGATGACGAATGTTTGAGATCGTAGGTGTGCTCACTACTCTGATTAAATTTTACTCATTGTATTCATGTACTGGAAATCATTATGCCCTCACAAACACCTACAATTCCTGTATGTTAATGAAAACGTTTATTCTTAAGAACTGCCTTTATTGAGGAACATAGAATTTAAGTTTGAGAATGTTCTTGTGATTATTGGGAACCATTGGCTTTCTTTAAAAACCATTAGGGGGCCAGCAGGTGGCATGGGGGTTAACGTGTTGGACTCTGCTAGACTCCCACATGGTTGATCACGGTTCAAGTCTTAGGCCTGGCAGCTTGTTTTCTCACTTCCTTTCTCTCTATGCTTGAATTTTTTAAAAAAAATCATGATAAATGAAATGAAATAAAGTAATTCTTAAAAAACTTAAGTTTTGTAATGAACTTCATACAGATGTGATGCCTGCATCATCATGCTGGGCCTTTCTTTCCTTTTTCTTTTTCCTTAGGTTTGTGCCACAGGACATATGTGAGAGAGACAGTGAGAGGGAAAGTATGAAGTCACACACACACACACACACAAGGGATGGCCACACCACAATCCCTTCTGTCATCTCCAGTCTCCTCTTGAGATTTGGGCATGCAGGCACACATACCTGGCATGATTTTCTTGCCACTCAGTCCAGGAGTCAAACTGGGATCAGTCATATGGGAGTTTAGCACCTTAAACACCATGCCACTTGCTGGCTCCTGGGCTGCCTTTGTCACTCTTTTCTTGTAATAGCAATTTAAAAACATCTATACCTATTTTAAAGAGATCTACAGTTTTAAATGATGTATTCAAAACTATGAAAATAAAACTATTTTAATTGCCTTGATTCTAAGTTAATTTTAATATGTGCTGAATAATGAATTGACTTGATGAAGGTCCGAAAGCTTTCTTTTTTTCTGTTTTACCTCTCTGCTATCACTAGGGGTTTAAAACTCTTATTTTGATAATGGACTGGTTTTATGTCACTGAACTAAAACTCCCAGTGTCAATGTTTGAGTTCACTGTATCCCCACAATTAGAGTGCATCTATACGGTTAGTTTCAGTTTCCACAGTTCCCTTGTAGTGTTTAGTGTCTCAATCAGTGTGTTACACTTTAACTAAAGAGGTTACAATCGAAGCTCACCTGGCAGATTTTTTGACCAGCTTGGCAATGTTGGCACTCTCTCTTCCCATGTTGACCCAGTGGCTCATTTTATTTATCATGTTGAGATGGGAGCAGCTGGCCTGACAAGGTCCTAGTGAGTAGTGAGGCAAGGGAGGTGGTGTC